GGGGCTGCGGGGACGGAACGGAGTCCACGTGACTCGGGGAGCGCGAGCCACGCCCAGCGCCTCGGTCCCGCGCGGCTTTCCTGTCCTGGCCGGTTTCTACCGGTTCGATTTGCGTAGGCACCCCCCCTACCTCCTCCCTTCTGGCCGTGACACACCAGCCGGTGACGCCTCGGCCGCAGACCCCGCCCCGCTCCCACGTCCAGACGAGCCCACGCTCTTTCCTCTCGCGCGCAGGCCCAGGTCCCCTCTCGAGTCCCTCCCGAACGCGCCAGCAGGCGGTGTCTCTAGAGTCGCTGGCCCCGCCCCCTTCCCGGGGCGCGCGGCCCCGCCCGTTCCCGCGGCCGGTCGGGCGTGCGCGGTCCGGGCTTCCGCGCACGCCCCGCCCCCTTCTGCCTCTAGCCTATCCTGCCCGTTTGTGACGTCAGGGCTCGTCAGGCCCGCCCCGCCTGCTCCCACGGCCCGACCGATCCGCACCGGCTGCTGCTCGCGGCCCGGCCCCGCCCCGCACAGCGCGCGCCGTCCGCAGAGCCCGCGGCCGTGACGCGGGCGTGACGCGGGCGTGACGCGAGTGCCGCCGCTCCCGAGGCGCTCGCGCTGTCCCCGCCGCGCTCCGAGGCAGCCGTAGCTCGGCCCGCGTCGCCAGGCCCCGGGCCGCCCCCGGGTCCCCGCCGCCCGCCATGGACGACTACGCGGTCCTGTCGGACGCTGAGCTGGCCGCCGTGCTGCGCCAGTACAACATCCCGCACGGGCCTGTCGTGGGTACGCGGCGGCGAGCGGGCCCCCTCCCCGCGCCGCCCCCGGGCTCCCGGCCCGCGCCCCTGACCGCTTCGCGTCCCGTGTCTGGCCAGGTTCCACCCGCAAGCTCTACGAAAAGAAAATCTTCGAGTACGAGACCCAGAGGCGGAGGCTCTCGCCCCCGAACTCGTCCGCGTCGTCTTTCTCCTATCGGTTCTCGGGTGAGGCCCCCGCCCCAGAGCCCCACCTGGCCTCCCGTGGGGACGGGGCTTGGGCGCCACGGAGGCCGGGGTCGGGAGGGTGCAGCAGGGGCGCCGGCCGGGAGGGAGGGGCACGGGGGAAAGGAGGGGGGCCTCGGGGGCAAATGGTCCCGGCCCCCCCCCCCCATTCAGACTTAGACTCGGCATCAGTGGACTCGGATATGTACGATCTGCCGAAGAAAGAGGACGCCTTACTCTACCAGAGCAAGGGTAAGGCCGGGATGGGCCGGGCACCCAGCCACCTTTATGGCACTCCCTCAGGGACCCTGGTGTCGGGGGGAACCTGGGATCTCGACTCCCATCACCCTCGGCAGCCCTAGAGGGGCGAAACGGTGCCACAGGCTGGCAAATGGGATTCAGATTAGGTCCACTGGGCCGAGGTGGGGCACTGCTCTCCCCTCTGCTACCCTGTCCCCCACCCCTTCCCAAGGCTACGGTGATGACTACTATGAGGAGAGCTACTTGAGCACCAGGACTTATGGGGAGCCCGAGCCTGTGGGCGCCTCGAAGGGGTTCCGCCAGCCCCCAAGCTCACTCTCAGACACAGACACCTTTCACCACCAGGTGAGCTGGCCGTTGAGCACTTGGGTGCTACCTGAGGGGGTCGTAGCTGCCTTCGGATAAAACGGGGGGGCTGCTGGGACAAATGGTGGCCCCCGTGCCTCCAGAGAGGTGTGGTCAGCAGACACCTTCCTGGTCAGGACCGTTCTTTGGGGGGCTGTCAGAACTGTTAAGAATAGAGCACTTGTGGGGCACCTGGGCGGCTCAGTCAGTTAAGCGTCTGACTTCGGCTCAGGTCACGATGTCATGGTTTGTAGGTTTGAGCCTCCTGGTCAGGCTCTCTGCTGACAGCTCGGAGCCCGGAGGCCGCTTGGGATTCTGTATCTCCCTCTCTCTCTGCCCCTCCCCATCTCACGCTCTGTCTCTGTCTCCTTCAAAAATAAATAAACATTAGAGGCACCTGGGTGGCTTAGTCCGTTTAGCGCCCACAACTTCGGCTGAGGTCATGATCTCGCAGTTCGTGAATTTGAGCCCTGCGTCGGGCTCTGTGCTGACAGCGTGGAGCCTGGAGCCTGCTTCGGATTCTGTGTCTCCCTCTCTCTCTGCCCCTCCCCCTTTCGCGCGCTCTCTCTCTCTCAAAAATAAATAAACATTAGAAAAAAATTTTAATACAAAAATGAATACACGTTAAAAGAAAAAGACTAGAGCACTTGGGACCGGCCTTCCACCCTGATCTGGGATCTAGCTTTGAGCTCTTTCTCGGAACTTCGGGGCAGAAAGTAAGGTGCAGGCAGCCAGGACAGGCAAGGAGCAAGCAACAAAGCCCTACAGACCCTACAGACACAGGGCTCGGACCTCAGGAGGGTCCCGGGAGGGGCAGGGTCTGGGCCTTTAAGCATTGGTCAGAATAGGCCGGTTGGGAGAGTTTGGACTGAGGGAGAGGACAGGCCACACCGACCTGCCTGCTGGTCTCCTTTCCTGACTCTCACCTACAGGTGCGTGAGGACAGTCTTTTCTCTTCTGAAGAGGAGAGCAAGGATAGGTGAGTAGGAGGGAGGACCAGGCACTGGGTGCGATTCCAGGCCCTGGCGCCCCCCCCCCCCGCCCCGCCCGGCTCACCCGCTCCCCTCTCTGCCTCAGGGAGCGCCCCGTGTACGGCCGGGACGGTGCCTACCAGAGCGTCGCGCACTACCGCCCTGTGTCCAGCGTGTCCAGAAGCTCCCTGGGCCTATCCTATTATCCCACCTCCTCCTCCGCCTCCCCCATGTCCTCCTCTCCATCTTCCCCCACTTCGTGGCTCACTCGTCGAGCTATCCGGCCGGAAAAGCAGGCCCCTGGGGCCGGTCTGGGCCAGGACCGCCAGGTCCCCCTCTGGGGCCAGCTGCTCCTGTTCCTGGTCTTTGCCGCCTTCCTGCTCTTTGTTTACTACTCCTTGCAGGCTGAGGACGGCGGTCCCTTCTGGACGGAGCCCTGAGGCCCTGGCTTCGTGGCCGCCTGTTCTCAGAAGTCCTGGCTGACTGCCTTAGTAGTGTTTGCTGGGGGAGGGGGTGGGGGCTTTTCTGTGTGTTCTGGCTTGGGGGCGCCGGGCCCGGCCCCGGGCACCGCTCGCTCCCCTCGTTCTGCGGGGTAGGTGGCAGGCCCAGGCCCTCCGTGGCACGGTGGACTTGGGCAGGCCTTCCTCTGGAGCCTTCTGGATCCTGCTTGCCTCTGACCCTTAGGGCCCAGGAGGGCAAGACTCTTCTCCCGGAGAGGAGAACATGGTTGTTGTCGTTGCATGCCTCCTGTCCGTTGTCACCTCGTTGGGGGGGTCAGCCAAAAGACACCCCGACTTTGTTTTCGTGGACACGCAATAAAAAGACCATTTATTTTTAACGTGTGGGCTCCTTCTGCTGGGTATGGGTCGGGCTCCCCCGGCTGGGGGCCTCCGGGGTCGACATCTGGCTTTGTTGCTTCTCCCCTTTTGCTTTGGGGTTGGGGTAGGGATCGCATGCTATCCATAGGCGTGTTTGCGCTTTACTTATAGGGTTCCTGACTGCTTACCCAAAGCTGCTGTAACTACTTAGGACAGTAACTGCCACCACGGGGCACGGAGATCGCATTTGGGAATGCAGGCGAGGGCACGGGCACAACGCTACTTACAGAGGCTTTAACCTCGGAGAGCTGACAACGGGCCTCAGTGTCCAAGGGCAGGGACGTGGGCAGGAAAGGAGACATGTTTGTTTGCTGGGGTTTCTCCTGGAAAGCTGCTTGCTTAGTGGCATGCGAGCTCACAGTACTCAAATGCCTCATCGCTTCTGGGTCTAATCCAGCCCCTTACCTGGCTATATTGTTGCCTATCTCCAGGTTTTCTGCCGGGCTGGGGGGTGTTTCATAATCTTCAAAGTTGACATATATATAT